CAACAGTTTGCACCCCCATAGAAACACAAAGTGAAATATATTATTTGAGTACTCGTTATAGCATTAAATCTCAATGCACAGCACATTAAGGACAGAGATCCTACATGAGGAGTAAGTGCACAGTGACTCCTGTTGTTGACTTTACCAATTGACACTCCTGTCTATGGCATCAGTAATCTCCCTATGCTCCAGTCATGAGTTTCCAAGGCTATGGAAGCCCCTTGAGTTCTCCGACTCTTATCTTGTTTAGACAAGGTCATAGTCAAAGTGGAGGTTCTCTCCTCCCTTCAGAGAAAGGTACCTCCTTCTTTGAAGACCTGTTCTTTCCACTGAGATCTCACTCACAGAGATCTTTTGCCAGAGTGTCTTGGCTTTCCATGCCTGAAATACTCTCATGGGCTTTTCAGCCAGATCGGAATGCCTTTAGGGCTGATTCTGAGGCCAGAGTGCTATTTAGGGCATCTGCCATTCTATGAGTCTGCTGAGTATCTCACTTCCCATGTTGGATCACTCTCCCCTTTATTTATTCTATCGGTTAGTGTTAGCAGGTACTAGACTTGCTTATGTGCTCCCTTTGACTCTTAGTCCTTTCATTATGATCAATTGCGAACTGAAATTGATCACTTGGACTAGTGAGATGGCATTGGTACATGCCACCTTGATGGGATTAAATTGGAGTCCCCTGGTATGTTTCTAACTCTACCATTTGGGGCAAGTCAGCTTGAGCATGTCCCAAATTATATATCTCTTCCCTCTCTTATTCCTACTCTTATGTTTAACAGGGATCACATTTCAGTTAAATTTCAACACTTAAGAATAACTGTGTATTAATTACAGAATTAAATCAGTCATATTAAGTAGAACAGACAAAAAAACTACTAAGAGGGATAATGTATTAAGTTGTTCATTAACAGTCAGGGCTATGCTGATCAAGTCACCGTTTCCCATAGTGTCCTTTTCACTTCAACAAGTTTCCTTTTTGGTGTTCAGTCAGTTGTCACCGATCAGGGAGAACATATGGTATTTGTCCCTTTGGGACTGGCTTATTTCACTCAGCATGATGTGTTCCAGATTCCTCCATTTTGTTGCAAATGACTGGATTTCGTTGTTTCTTACTGCAGTATAGTATTCTAAAGAGTACATATCCCATAATTTCTTTATCCAGTCTACCGTTGATGGGCATTTAGGTTGGTTCCAGGTCTTAGCTATTGTGAATTGTGCTGCAATAAACATTAGGCTGCAGAACGCTTTTTTGTTTGCCAATTTAAATTCCTTTGGGTAAATTCCAAGGAGTGGGATGGCTGGTTTGAACGGTAGGGTTATCTTCAGGTTTCTGAGGAATCTCCAGACTGATTTCCATAGTGGCTTGACCAGTTTGCATTCCCACCAACAGTGGGTTAGTGTCCCTTTTTCCCCACATCCTCGCCAGCATCTGTTGTTGGTAGATTTCTGAATGTGAGCCATTCTAACCAGGGTGAGGTGGAACCTCATTGTGGTTTTGATTTGCATTTCTCTGATTGCTAATGACCTTGAACATTTTTTCATGTGCCTGTTGGCCATTTGGATTTCCTCTTTTGAAAAATGTCTATTGAGGTCCTTGGCCCATCTCTTAATTGGGTTGTTGGTTTTGTTTTTGTGGAGTTTCTTGATCTCTTTGTAGATTCTGGTTATTAACCCTTTATCTGTTGCATAGTTTGCAAATATTTTTTCCCATTCTGACGGTTGTCTCTTCACTCTCCTGACTGTTTCTTTTGCAGTAAGCATTTGATAAAATACAACACCCGTTCATGATGAAAACTCTAAGCAAACTGGGTTTGGAAGGAACATTCCTCAATACAATCAAAGCAATCTATGAAAAACCCACAGCCAACATCCTATTGAATGGGGAAAAGTTGGAAGCATTTCCACTGAGATCTGGTACCAGACAGGGATGTCCACTCTCACCACTGCTATTCAATATAGTTCTGGAGGTTCTAGCCAGAGCTATTAGGCAAGAAAAAGAAATTAAAGGGATACAAATTGGGAAGGAAGAACTCAAACTATCCCTCTTTGCAGATGACATGATTCTTTATTTAGGGGACCCAAAGAACTCTACCAAGAGACTATTGGAACTCATAGAAGAGTTTGGCAAAGTAGCAGGGTATAAAATCAATGCACAAAAATCAACAGCCTTTGTATACACAGACAATGCCATGGCTGAGGAAGAAATTCTAAGATCAATCCCATTCACAATAGCTACAAAAACAATCAAATACCTTGGAATAAACTTAACCAAGGACGTTAAAGATCTCTACGATGAAAATTACAAAACCTTAAAGAAAGAAATAGAAGAGGATACCAAGAAATGGAAAAATCTTCCATGCTCATGGATTGGAAGAATCAATATCATCAAAATGTCCATTCTCCCAAAAGCAATTTATAGATTCAATGCAATACCAATCAAGATACCGAAGACCTTCTTCTCAGATCTGGAAAAATTGGTGCTGAAATTTATATGGAGGCACAAGAGACCTCGAATAGCTAAAGCAATCTTGTACAACAAAAACAAAGCCGGAGGCATCACAATACCAGATTTCAGGACATACTACAGGGCAGTTGTAATCAAAACAGCATGGTACTGGTACAGAAACAGAAGGATAGACCAATGGAACAGAATTGAAATACCAGAAATCAACCCAAACATCTACAGCCAACTTATATTTGATCAAGGATCTAAAACTAATTCCTTGAGCAAGGACAGTCTATTCAATAAATGGTGCTGGGAAAATTGGATTTCCACGTGCAGAATCATGAAGCAAGACCCCTACCTTACACCTTACACAAAAATCCACTCAACATGGATTAAAGACCTAAATCTACGACCTGACACCATCAAGTTACTAGAGAACATTGGAGAAACCCTTCAAGATATTGGCACAGGCAAAGAGTTTCTGGAAAAGACCCGGGAGGCACAGGCAGTCAAAGCCAAAATTAACTATTGGGATTGCATCAAATTGAGAAGTTTTTTTTTTTTTTTTTACAGAGGATCAGTTTAGTATGCATTAAGTAAAGATTTCAACAGTTTGCACCCCCATAGAAACACAAAGTGAAATATATTGTTTGAGTACTCGTTATAGCATTAAATCTCAATGCACAGCACATTAAGGACAGAGATCCTACATGAGGAGTAAGTGCACAGTGACTCCTGTTGTTGACTTTACCAATTGACACTCCTGTCTATGGCATCAGTAATCTCCCTATGCTCCAGTCATGAGTTTCCAAGGCTATGGAAGCCCCTTGAGTTCTCCGATTCTTATCTTGTTTAGACAAGGTCATAGTCAAAGTGGAGGTTCTCTCCTCCCTTCAGAGAAAGGTACCTTCTTCTTTGAAGACCTGTTCTTTCCACTGAGATCTCACTCACAGAGATCTTTTGCCAGAGTGTCTTGGCTTTCCATGCCTGAAATACTCTCATGGGCTTTTCAGCCAGATCGGAATGCCTTTAGGGCTGATTCTGAGGCCAGAGTGCTATTTAGGACATCTGCCATTCTATGAGTCTGCTGAGTATCTCACTTCCCATGTTGGATGACTCTCCCCTTTATTTATTCTATCGGTTAGTGTTAGCAGGTACTAGACTTGTTTATGTGCTCCCTTTGACTCTTAGTCCTTTCATTATGATCAATTGTGAACTGAAATTGATCACTTGGAATAGTGAGATGGCATTGGTACATGCCACCTTGATGGGATTAAATTGGAGTCCCCTGGTATGTTTCTAACTCTACCATTTGGGGCAAGTCAGCTTGAGCATGTCCCAAATTATATATCTCTTCCCTCTCTTATTCCTACTCTTATGTTTAACAGGGATCACATTTCAGTTAAATTTCAACACTTAAGAATAACTGTGTATTAATTACAGAGTTAAACCAGTCATATTAAGTAGAACAGACAAAAAAAAAGATTTCTTTAGAAAATTTAAGTCTACATAAATTAATTTTGGCTGGATGTGCTGTTCTCTATTTTGCTTTTTAAAAGCTTATCAAAATTTGTTGACTGTTTCCAGATCAATTCAGATATCAACAATCATCATTTTAGGTCTTTATTTTTAGGGTTTTAGTATTCTAAAGCAATGACTTAGTTTTGCTAACTTCTGAAACTCAATGTTGTAAGTAGTTGGGAAACAGAATTGAAGGAGATACTTGGATTCTTAATAAGAGATGAACTCAAATATCAAAATGCAATTTTTCTGGTTTCACTGGAAAACATGTTTATTTTCCCAATTGGAGCAAGTTTATATTTTGAATGTTTTTTATCAAAAACTAAACCAAAAATATTTTAGTGGTCTTGGGAGGTTTTAATGATATTCTTCTTAGGTTCCAAAAGCTTCTACTTAAGATTTGATGCAACCTTGGAAGAATTTAATCAAATGTTTCCCTCTTTGATTCAAGATGCTCTTCTACAGGATGCTTTTGACTCCACAAGATCTGTGAATAAAACATTGTAGCATATTTGCCAGTTTCTATAATTAGATGTCTTTAGAGGTCAGATAATGGGTAAATGATAGATAATTAATTTAGGAGATTATCAGGAAAGTAGAATCCAAGCTTGTAGAGATGTATTTTTCTCTATACCAGTTAACTTGGAAATAGATTCTCTTACCCTTGCTGAAATGATTGCAGCCAACCTTTTTTAAAAAAGTATAATTTAATTTATTTCTTTCATTTATAATCCCATAACGAGGGTTCATAAGCAAACTTTTTAGTCAAGATAATTTGTTGCAGAAACAATAGATTTCAAAGCATCTAGTATATTCTCACTTATATAGCTTTTTAAGAAATTCTGTAGCATATATTTTAAAACAAAACTGTTAAACAGATGTACTTTAAAAGATAACTGCTAATGATTTGATTTATTTAAGAACACAAATACTATGATTAAAATATTTATTTTAAAATGCCTAATTTTTGGTCATATGACTTCAGATGTCAAAAATAGAAATGTCCTACTAAAATACATCATTTTACTTATGTATAACTCTTTGAAGTTAAAGCAGTCTGCAATGTAAACAGTATAAGAAAGTATGCCAAACTGTATTTTTGTGTTCATTTAAATATGTAGGATATGTACTGTCTCAAGCGTGTGGGTTAAAACCAGGGCACTTTCAACACATAGCTCATGCTTCTGTGTGATTATTTTTAACAGCAAACTAAGACCAACTCTGCCTGAGTTACATTGACATGTGAAGTCACTAAAGATGTGATGTTTTAAACATGTGGATGTCTTCTAAAGTCAAGGACTTTTGCACTGGGAGCGTGACACAGGCACTTGGGTTCTTGTCTGTCCTCATGGAACGACAATGTTCCAGGTCGTTAGGATTTGTCTTCTGATGGGTCAGAGAAAGCCACTTGTGATGTAGGGTTACACAATTCAGTCACCAAAGGCTTAGATACCAATGCTGTCCAGGCCTAATGCATCTGAATTGAATTACTCCCTTGCCAGCGGCCCTCTTGTGAAGGCAAGGTATACAGATCGCCAAGAGAAGGGAATCTGAAGATGGGCTTCAGAAGAGGTGTACAGAGCAGACAAGGATCGCGCGGATGACGACGGGATTCTGTGAGGGCAGAGGAGAGGGGGTGCGAATGTTGCACACTCCCTTCTGAAGCCATGGCTGAGAGAACTCTGATAGTTCATATCCCTCTTTTCTACTAAGACCAACACAGTTTTCACTCTCAATTTTAGGGTTGTTATTACCAGCCAGTTTTAATTAGAAGAAGAAGAAAACCTATTTGTTATACCGGGTTGAAGAAATCAGAGAAAACATCTCAAACACCTCCAAACACAACAACTGTAAAAATAAAACATTTATCAATAAGTAAAGCTACTTTATCCATACGGATAATATCACTATCCGTAATGCCAACACATTTGCTGATATATTTAAAAATTTTTCATGCAAAAAATAAAAAAAATCCAGAGCTATGAAAAAAAAAGATGAAAGAAAACATCTTAAACTTTTGAATTGAGTCTTTTGCATCCTAAACACTTAATATCCACATTGGCAAAGCTCTTAAGCTGTGGGACAGAGTGGGTAATTCCGATTAATGAAAGTGTCAGCTGAGTCGGCCCTGATGGGAGAGGGAACCTAGTGATGCCAAGTGTGAAGCTGATTTATGAGACTGCTCTTAGACTGGACCTAATTTATTATGTCCCAACTCATACTTAGGCTTCCACTTACTCAAGAGAGTGATTGAAGGATTGGAAGCACATTTCCCAGCCTCCTTTCCAACTGATTTCCTTTGGTAAGGCATTGCAGTGAAAATATGAGGCAGGAGACCTCTTTGAAAACTTTTCCTAGATGGTTATAGTTATTAATATGCTAACAGATCTTATATGTATATTATATATGTGTATTGTTAGAAATAAGTTCAAAATGGGACTGTTTTTACTGGTTTATCAAAAATGATAATTTAAAAATAGAATTGTAGCCTGCAAACAATGATTTTTACTCAAGGGTACATGGATCTTAAAAACATCAACTAAATGAGAGACAAAAAAGGCCACAGAGTTCACTTTCATTCATGTGGAAGGGGGGCGGGAGGGGATTTGGAAGTGAGGTAGCTGGTGCCGCGGCTCACTAGGCTAATCCTCTGCCTGTGGCACCGGCACACCAGGTTCTAGTTCTGGTCGGGGCGTCGGATTCTGTCCTGGTTGCTCCTCTTCCAGTCCAGCTCTCTGCTGTGTCCTGGGAGTGCAGTGGAGGATGGCCCAAGTCCAAGGGCCCTGCACCCACATGGGAGACCAGGAGAAGCACTTGCTTCCTGGCTTCGGATCAGCGCGGTGCGCTGGCTGCAGTGGCCATTGGAGGGTAAAGGAAGACCTTTCTCTCTGTCTCTCTCTCTCTCCCTCTCTCTCTCTCTCTCACGGTCCACTCTGCCTTACCAAAAAAAAAAAAAAAAAAAAAAGTGAGGTGATTTGAGAAACCTCTAACGTTAGATGCAGAATTTTCTCTGTAGAGATGAACATTCTTGTGGAGAGAGTCCATAGTTTTAATCAAATTGCTATAGAGACCTATGACCTTCAAATGGTTAAGAAATCACTACCTTTCGAAAGCCTTTTGTCTTTCCCCTCTTTTTAAAAAAACGTGAATTTAAAGGATTTCTTCAACATAAGGGTTTGTGTCCTCTGCTTGTAATTTAAGAATGTTTGTTAAATATAATTTTTAAAAATTATAAAACCTGGGGCCAGAGCTATGGCGTAGTGGTAAAGCTGCCGCCTGCAGTGCTGCATCCTGTATGGTCACCAGATCGAGTCCCGGCTGCTCCACTTCCAATCCAGCTCTGTGCTATGGCCTGGGAAAGCAGTGGAAGGTGGCCCAAGTCCTTGGGTCTCTGTACCCACGTGGGAGACCTGGAAGAAGCTCCTGGCTCCTGGCTTCTGGCTTTGGATCAGCCTAGCTCCGGCTGTTGTGGCCATCTGGGGAGTGAGCCTGCAGATGGAAGACCTCTCTCTCTTTCTCTGCCTCTCCTCTCTCTGTAACTCTGCCTTCCAAATAAATTAAGAGATTATAAAACCCTTATAGCTTATTGATCTGTAATAGTGTTTTTAGGTAAGTTTTTTTACTGATTTATTTTTACACTGATGCCTTCAGTACATCTTGATGTTATTTTTGGATATGGAATAATGTAGGCTTTTGAATTTATTTTCATCCAGTTACTTGAACTCATAGTGTTAATAAATGATCCATGCCTCCCCCTTCAAATTGGGATTTAATATATAATGAGTAAATACTGTAGTAATATGTTTTGCAAATTTAAGTGTCATTTTTGGATTTTCTATTTTGTTCCATGGGTCTGTTTATCAGTTCTGTGTCAACACATATTGGTTTGATTGTACGAGTTTTATTATATATTTTAATATATGAAAAGCCAGTCTGCCTGTGAACTTTCTATTGTTTCATCGCCATTTTCTAGCATTTATTCTTGTATATATTATTATGTATCCAATTTTGATAAAAACAAACCCCTTGGGATTGAAATTTCATTAAAACATGAATTTTGGGACACTTGATGTTTTTATTACATTGAATATATCTTTCCATTTGTTTATAGTTTGTAATGTGGGAGGCCTTCAGAAAGTTCACAGAATATGTGTATTTGGAAAAAAATCTACTTGGAGCCAGGGTTGTGGTGCAGTGGGTTAAGCTGCCATTTGCAATGCTGGTATCTTATATTAGAGTGCCAGTTTGAGTTCCTGCTACTCTATTTCTCATCTAGCTCCCTGCTAATGTGCTCAGGAAGACAGTGGAGGTCAGTCCAAGTACTTGGATCTCTGCTACCCTGTGGGAGACTTGGAAGAAACTCCTGGCTCTTGGCTTCAGCCTGGCCTAGCCCTGGCCATTGCAGCATTGCAGTCATCTAGGGAGTGAACCAGTAGATGGAAGATTCTGTTTCTTTGTTTCTCCCTCTTCCTCCTCCTCCTCTCTCTCTCAACTCTTTCAAGTAAATAAACAAATTTAAAAAAATTACTTATGAGTTGCAAACTCTTTTGTACCACAATAATCTTTTAATCCCATTTCCGTGAACTTACTTGACATAGACTCATATAGCTTATTTTCTGTTGCTCTTTTGTCGTTTTCGATAAATTTATTTCTAAGTGTTTTAGAGTCCTGGTTCCAATTGTGAAAATCCATTAGGATTTCAAGACTCCCCTTTCACCCCCATCCCGGCTGTGGCTCCTAGAGTCCATTACATGCGTGTTGCATAATTATGCTGGTTACATTCTCTTAACTTCTGTTACTCAAGGACTCTCTGGGGCAGCCTTGTGGCAAAGTGGATTAAGCCACTGCTTATGATGCTGGCATTCCAAATTGGTGTGCCAGTTCAAGTCTGGCTACTCCATTTTTGATCCAGCTTCCTGTCAGTGTTCCCTCGGAAGGCAGTAAAAGATGGCTAATGTACTGGGAACCCTACCACCCTGTGGGAGACCAGCATGGAGTTCCTCACTCCTGGCTTCAGCCTAGCTCAGACTTGGCTGTTGCTGCCATTTGGAAAATAAACCAGCAGACAGAAAATCCCTCTCTCTCTCTGTCACTCCTGCTCTGTGTCACTCCTTCACTCTGCCTTTCATGTACCTTTCAAGTAAGTAAATAAGTTCTTTAAGGAAAAAAAATAAAGAATCTCAAGTTTTCTAGGTGAAACAATTCTCCCAAGGGGGGTAAAGGGTTAATTTTAATTTTGCCTTTATTGGAAACTATTAATAATAATGATAGGGAATAGTCCCATCTAGTTGCTGATTTCAGTTGTAACAATTGTGTGTTCTGCCATTTATAATTCGCTTGTGAATATTACTTAAAAACTGACCAGAAGAGACCTAATAATTTGGAAAAGCCACTGGTGTCATCCCTGGAATGGTATGAAGGGGCACCTCTATTGAAACTCAACAAAGACTTGAAAATAAGATAAGAAAAGAAGCAATTTTCAGAAAACAAATCCAAGCATCCAACACCTATATGAAAAGAAACTTCAGTTCATCAGAATTAGGAAAGTTTAAATCAAATGTGTAATTTTACTTCCATCAAACTTCAGAAATTCAAACTGTTAGTTTGTTGGTGGTGAAAATATGATATGAAGAATACGCTTGTGATTGGTTGTGGGAATGTGAATTGGCACAGATTTTCTGGAAACAGCTATTAAAATTGAGAGCGCCTACATCCTTCACCTTGATAATAGCACTCCTTAAACTTTACACCATACAAATGTAAGTATCATAATGTAAAGATATATAAGCAAGGGCTTTATTGTAACCTTGTTCATGACAGGGAAAAAAACTTGGGGAGAAAAGACACCCAGGGTGTAATATTTTGGGTACACACACCATGGACTGTTGGTAGCCAGTAGAGCGTAAAATATTAGTGCCAGAGCAATTGAGTTGAGGGCAGAGGCAGGCTCGTAGTTTAAGGAAGTTAGTGATAGTGTGAGAAGTAGAGAGAACTGAGGGAAGCTGACAAAGGGACAAATATGGGATTTGGCAAAGATTTCTTAAATAGCACATTAGAAGTCCTAAGCTTAAAGAAAAATGTGCTTTTCATAGGACCAGCAATTGTACTTTGGGACATTTATCCTGGAGAAATGATGGCTTACAGGTCTCTTAGGCAGAAATTGGATCCCTAAGTTCCATCTCTCAGAGTCCTTTAATTAAAAGCTAATTAAAGAACATTTTTGACATTTGTAATTTAAAGGTGTCAAATTTTTCATCTGTAATTCTTAAGAAAAATTTTTCACATGGGTACTGTTCATTACCTAATGAACATTATTTTGAAATTTTATAAGCAGTAGCTACTATGTGCATTTTGTCAAGATCTGTTTTTATGAATTACTATTATAATATTTGGGTATCATGGAATTAATATGGCTTATGAAATGTTTAGAATACATTTGGTTGTTTCAGAATTTTCTTAAGAGTGGTTTGTAAGAATTTTAAACATTTTGGTTGCACAAATTATTTATGAAATGTATGTTTATAATGATTCTGGCACTAAGTTTATTCTAAGTTAAATAAACTAAAACTAAGTTAATAAGTTTATTATTAAATGTATGTTTATAATGATTTCTGGCACTAATGCTTATTTGTCCATTTTGATATTTTGAGAACTAAAATCAATAGGTTTATCATTGTTTTAGCTTTGAGGTTGAATTTCTAGAATCTATAGGTATTAATGACATTTTTCAACATTTTGAATAGGCTGTTTGCTTTCTTGAATTTTCCCACATCTGAAAGCTTTAAATCATCTGCTAAAATATGAGAAACATACAATTTTACTTAAATATTTCCATCATGAGTTCTCTTACACCATATCAGTTTTCCTTCTTTATGTGGTATGTTGAACTCCTTTTAAATTTTATAATCGTGGGTAGAGTTGTCATATCATCCCTTTTTCATTTTAATTTGTATTGCATTATATGACTTCCATGTTTGCTATAGAACTGTACTACCTTTCTCAAGTTCTTGTCTTAATATTGATTGGTTTGATTCATTCTCAATTTCACCATTTTTGTTAGAAGTGGATAGAAAGTGACCTTTCCCCCCTTCTCGTTGCCTCTATCAAAATAGACCAGAGCTGCTTCTCTAGGGAATTTCGTCAAAGCAAAAGTTTAGAAATAAGGATAGTGTGTCCTCCACTTGCATTTTGGCTCTTGATTAAGGTCACCAGGATGACAGTTCTAGTCTCTAAGGAAAGCTTTTCCCTTCCTGTACTTTAAAAATCACGGAAATAGGTTTCAGCTGATGTTTAGTTAGTTGTTTCCTTTGAAGTGTCTTTCTTGTTGATTTGTAGTGGAAGAGTACTGATTTAGGACATAAAGTTTATAATGCTTTGGCAAGAAATATTAGAAATAATCCTTTTTTAAACAAAACATTTATTTAGTTATTTGAAAGGCAGAGAGGGGAAAAGAGAGAGAGTTCTTTGATTCATTGGTTCAATCCCCCACAGCCTCAACAGCTGGGTGTGGTCAGGTCAAAGCCAGGAGCCAGGAGCTCCATCCTGGTCTCCTGCATGGTAGCAGTAGCCCAAGCTCTCAGGCCGTCTTCCCCTGCTTTCCAAGGTGCATTAGCAGGAGTGCTGGGTTGGAAATGTAGCAGCCCGGACTGAAACTGCCACTCCAATATGGGATGCCAGTGTCTCTAGCATCAGCTTAAGCTACTGAGCCACAATGCTGGCCTCTGCCTTGTGTTTCTTAAAATGCTTATATTATTAATGGCATTTGCATTGATATTTGAACTCTGGGCAGATGGTTGCAAGTGACACTTCTGCTTGTCAACACGCGTTCTAAATTCATAATGACCATAGTGATTATTTTAGTATCTACCAAATTTTAAGCATGCCAAATTGTTTCTCCCTCTTACCTTCTGCTTTCTCTTTTTTATGTTTTTTTTTTTTTTCTTCCTGAATTGAAAAAGAAAAGGGAAAACATTATCTGAAGTTTACTGGGAAGTGTACCTAGAGTTCTTCCTTTCCTCAACAAATATTTTCATTTTTTTGTATTATTTTCTGTTTTTGTCCACATGTAGGAATGTTCTATGTGATTAAAATATTTTATATGATTGAAATTATAGAGAAACATAAATTTTACCATTAAAAACATCCTTTAAGAAAAAATACATTGTGGGAATTAAAAGTTGAGGATGAATGTTAGGAATTTGAGCCATATTTGACTCAGCTGCATTGTATAATTTCAAAAATAAAATTGTTCACATTATTTTAGAATGAAGTATTGTGTGATATCTAAAATTACCATATTGCTTATCTTTTATATTTTCAGTCTTTCTGGATGGAGTTAGTTTAATAATATGTAGTCTATTTTGTCTTATTTATAGGATATTAGAAAGAATAGGATTTAGATGGAAAGGGTCATACTTGACTTTCTTTTCTATCATTCATTGGTTTTGTGACTGGGAAAATATTCTTTACCTATGAGTTTCAGTAGGGACAAAAATTGTTAAATGATGGATATTTTAAGGATTAAATTGAAAATGTTGATGTTGGAGTCTTATACCATGCAAGAGTTTATAATTACATAGAGACATGAGTAACATGTGTAACTAGCTGAATCTTTCCTTTGTGACTATAGTCATTATTTGTGGGATAGTGCCTATGTTGTGTAAATTTTGATGGTTTGCTTCATCGGAAAAGTTGTGTGTGCACTCCAGAGTCATATGAGAGAACCAGGATCCAGAGTGCACATCCAAGATCACTAACTGGGTAGTAAGAAGGCAGTGTTAATGTGTTCTAATTTCCATTTGAGTGTCTGTTTTCATAGATTACACCATGGCCATTTAGCAGCACGTTGAAACTTTAGGAAGAACTTCAACATTTTTTTGCACCAAAAATCACATCAACATAATAACATCGTTTATGATTATAAAAATAGTACTAAGAAAACTTTAGAAGAATAAAACATGTTATTTTCCTGTAATGGAAATTATGATTTATATATATTATATTGCTTCCTAAAATCTTTTCTCACCATATAACCATTTTCTCTTACCATAACAAATGGATATTTTTCCATGCCTGTTTTATTGCCTTTGTTACTCAAGTTTTGGAGTATGAACATAATAAAGTAGTATCTTAGAATAAAATAAGTTATTATAAAAAGATAAAAATACTCTTATATGTGTATTTTGTAAGCTGAAGAGTTAACTTGGAGAAGAAATAGATATTAGCAGATTTGGTTACTTAGGTCCTGTTTCTGATTTGCTTAAGGAGGATATGTGTAGTACCCTCAATGATCAGGGTGGGATGGTGGGGAGAGCCAGGATTTGGATTCTGGCTGTGCTGACAGAATCCCAGTCCTGTCACCTATTGTGTAATGTTGGAAAATCATTCAATGTCTCTGACTTTTGGTTTTCTGTCTTTTAAAATGGGATAAGAACAGAGCATTTGTTCTAGAGGTTGACACTGGTTAGGATACTCCTTTCCCATATCTGAGTATTTAGGTTCAATTTCCTGTTCTGGCTCCTGATTCCTGCTAATGTGGACTGTGGAGGCGATGGTGATGGCTTAAGTAGTTGAGATTTTGGTGGCCTAGATTGTGTTCCCAGCTCCCAGCACAGCATTGGCCATTGTAAGCATTTGAGGAGTGAACCAGTGGAACCCCTGCCCCCGCCAACCTCACTGCCTCACTTCCTTTCTGTATCCCTCCCTCTCAAATAAATAAAAATTTTTTCCAAAATTGGAATGAACTGTGCCTGCCATTCAGGGCTGCTATAGGATTAGAGACAAGTATACTGAAGGTGCCTGACTGACTGGGTGTGTTAGGCACAGGATAATTGATGATCAGAAGAAACAGAAGGGGACAGTCATTGTGGCAGAATACCTTAGACCAAAGCTTAGGATGCCCATATGCTGTATCTGAATGCTAAGTCTCTGCTGCTCTGCTTCCTATCCAGCTTCCTACTAATGTGTCTGCAAGGCAGTGGATGATGACCCAGGTGCTTGGGAGCTTGCCACTCTTGTGGGAGACCTGGATGAAATTCTAAACTCTTGGCTTCAATACGGCCCCGCCCTGGCCTGTTGTAAGCCTTTGGGGAGTGAACCAAAGGATGAGAGATCTTTGTCTCTGTTTCTTCTTCTCTCTCTTTAATTCTGCCTTTCAAATAATAAATAATTCTTTAAAAAAGGGAGAGAGAAAGATGGAGAGATTCATGGGTGAACTCCCAAGGAACTTTCCAATCCAAGTGGTGTTGAGTAGGCTGTGCTGGAAGAGATCCAGTTCATAAAAAGCAAAATCCTTTTCACCACACTTTAACAACAATTGAGACTAAAAATAACTTTTATGAGCTCTGTGGTGGGTGGTGGGGGTTAAAGGTATAATTTCTGAAAATTTAAATTGTTTCCTGAGCACACAAGTAGAAGTGACAAAAGCATATGCTTTTGTGTTTAAATCATAAATTGTATCTTTTGTTATTTTAATTGTATATATTCATGAGGTACTTTGTGATAATGTGATACGTGTATTCAATATGTGAAGATCAAATCAGATGTGTTAGCATTTCCATTTCATTGAACTTTTTTTTAAAGTTTCTGAATTAACAATAACTGTATATGGGGCATAGTGTCATATTTCAATAAACATCCACTGTATGTGTTGATCAGATCAAGGTAATTAACATTTCTCTCTCTTTGTCATTGCATTTCATTTGCAGCTTTCGAGCTTGTGTTTTCAGTTTGTACATAGAATATATAGAAGTTAATTAGGAACTATGGTCACTCCACTGTTCCATGGAGCAATAGAAGTTATTCTGTGTTTCCCAACCTGCGTTTATTCAACCTCCCTCTGTCCCCTTGCATTTCTTTTAGCCAGTGTTTGGTTAATACTTGAGTGTGCCCATGGAAAAGCATATTGAGACATCTTTCTTTGATTTTCAACAAGGCTGCAAAGTTAGAGAATCCACTTATGTGTGATCTAGGAAAAATTACAGATGTAGCCACCCCCAACTTAGAATACCAGTAGTACAGGTGTTATAAAAGATACAAGTATGGTGTTGAGCAAATAATTTGTTCTTATAAGAGAAACAGGATGCTATAAGTAAAGAAATGGTATTTAAATAGGTTTTTCAGGGTCAATAGAGGTTCACTAGGAAGGATAATAGCCGTTCAGGTTTAGAAAATGGTATATGCAAGACACAGAGTGTGTAGGGATATGCTGTTTCAAGGATGGGAACTAACTGTGCGTTGTGGAGGGCAGAAGGAAAGGGGGTGGAGAGTGAGCTTGGAGCCCCTGCACTTGTACTAAGTTTGACTTTTTGAAAGACAGCAGCATTTGCATTTGCATTCCAGAGAAATGTTAAGAATGTTATACAATGAGCAAAAGTAGAAAGAATAGCAGAGTCTGTCAATATAAAATATTAATTTTTAGAACACAGAAAAGACACTCAAATATGTCCTTGCTGAAATCAGACCACTTTTAGGAAAGCAAGCCATGTCCTATTTCAGGCCAGCTAGTTGGCAAATGATTCAAAGGGGAGTTAACTCTGCCACCCACATTAGAAGTATATCAGCATAAGCAGCCTGATTGATGATCCAGCTAAACTCTTTGCTATGACTCATCACATAAAGTGTTAAAATCCATTATGCTTACAGCCACTGATTTTCTCTCTTGAAGCTTCTGGTTTTTGCCACTTTCTGTAGCTTTGCAAAGAGGTGTATAGAAATAGCAGTGTATATAAATACACATATATCCTATATACATATAATATATACACATTTATAATATCCTACATACATATAATACATACACATATAATATACATTGAATGTATCTATATATCTTTAGAAATTAAGATAGTGGTGGGAGATCAGAGTGGAAACACTTAAGTAAAGAGCAGAGTTCAGGCCGGCGCTGTGGCTTAATAGGCTAATCCTACGCCTGCGGCGCCGGCACCCTGGGTTCTAGTCCCAGTAGGGGCGCCAGGTTCTGTCCCGGTTGCTCCTCTTCCTGTCCAGCTCTCTGCTGTGGCCCGGGAGTGCAGTGGAGGATGGCCCAAGTCCTTGGGCCCTGCACTTGCATGGGAGACCAGGAGAAGCACCTGGCTCCTGGCTTCAGATCAGCGCGGTGCACCAGCCGCAGCGGCCATTGGAGGGTGAACCAACTGTAAAGGAAGACCTTTCTCTCTGTCTCTCTCATTGTCCACTCTGCCTGTCAAAAATAAAATAAAAAAAGAGCAGAGTTCAAAAAAGAAGACTTGTGCTATTCTTAATATGTTTTTTCCTCATCATCATTTTCTGGATTTTCCCTTTACTGTAAGCACAAGATGAGGAGTCAGGAAACCAGAATTCTAGACCCAACCTTATCACTTGTTACACATCTGCCTCCTCTTAGACAAGTGCCTTGACTTTTCTAGCACTCAGTTTTCCTGATCACCCAAATGAAAGAGTTTTCAGATAGGTTCCACAGGATACAGCAGAGCTGCTTCAGGGGCTACTCTGGTGGATGAAATGAGGCTCCTGCCAACCTTCTCCTTCAAATACAAATTCCATTTGTATTATAACTTGGGACGGTGACAAGATTTTTTAACGTGAGGATTCGTTCATCTTTCTAAAAATTTAAACTGCATTAAACTGGAAATTCCATAAGAACTGTCTAGCTCTGAATCAGTTTCCACATCTGTAGAATGGGGGCAACAATAGTGACATTTCATGTAGAGCAGGGATAGGATGTGGAAGGCGTTTGACAGGCAGTTAGTGCATGCCATATCCCTCCAGCAGGTCCCACACAAATAAGGCCTCATTTCCTATGACTCTTATGCTGTGAGAGTATAATGATAGCCTGAGAAATGCTCAATCCATTTGTGTTATATCAATGACTCTATAAAAACGTCTTAGACATTTACTCTATAAATTTTTAAGATAATTTATTTATACTTTTACACTGATTTTTGTCTCGCATAACTGCAGCTTTTCATCTGTATCAAATTTTAAAAATAATTCTGATGATGCGTCAATGAAACGTAACATACTAGTATCTTCCAGGCTTGCCAGCTCGTGGGAAAGTGACATCAGTGTCCACTCATTGACCCTGCCCTGTGCAACCTGCTTAGAGCTGCTGTTGATATTATCCAGGAGCAATGCCACCCTGCCGCCTTCTCTTCGCCATATGAATTCCTTTCAGGTAAGGAACAGTTCTTGACTCGAGTCTGATTTCTCAGTTTTGCTTGTAATTGTTCTTCAAGGATCCTGTCTTTCACAGGAAAGAGCCCATGGGAACCCACAGTTTCAAATGATAATAATAAGCATAATACTTGGATTGCCTTGCCTATCTCTTTTTAATAAGTAACAAATAGAAACTAAAAGTGATTCTATGATTTCCTCAGAGTAGGAGAACCCATGGTTTGTTCTCTCCAGGGTTTGTTTTCTCCAGTTTCCATTTTTCCTGCCTCAGAGAAATGGCCGGAAGATCTGGCAAAAGCACCTGTGAATGCCATTTCGCTTCTCCTAGCTGTGCTATCTAGAACAAGGACTTTCATAATTGGTGCCTTTGCTACTTCTAGCTTGAAATCAGATTGCCAAGTAGATGTTGAGCATGGACAGTGTCCTCTCCACTCAGCCCCATTTCCCTGCCTTTAGTTCCTCTCCTATCACTTCCCCTTTCCCTGGGATATTTATTTTTGCCTGTGATACAACTCAGTGCTGATGTAGACTGGCCAGCAGGATGATCAGCAACAAGACCGTTTCCTGATCATCGGCTGATTGTCATATGAGGTGGCCACTGCAATTGAAGATGTTAACTAGTGGCTGAAGTTGTGATCCGGTAGCGACTGACTGTAATGGAAAACATATATGACTCCTGACAATGGGGAAATACTCATGAGCACTCTGATGCTTGTGGGAAAGCCACATGCACTCCTGGAAAATGAGTAAACCAGAGGTTCTACAGCTGGAGGATTGCTGATGTATCCTAACCAACTTTAGCAGTGTGTACTGCTTGGTGCACCTTTGTGATGTGGTAAAGCAAGACATGTAGATTTTCCTGTGAATTATAACTCAGGAAATTCATTAAAAATAACTTTTCCAAACCGATTTACTTGCCTACCCTCTTGGAAATTGCATAGATTGAATCTGTGACTTTTTTCTTGTTTCATGGCCTTGGGCATTCGAGCAAAATTCAGTCTTTGGCCTTAGTATGTGTACTTGTATTTGTTGTTATTTCAGATTATGTCTACCTTGGAATGTCTGCCTCGCCTGCCCCCTCCACCGTCTCTATTTTGTGATCATTTATTATTTCTTTATTTGTTGTCTACTGCCTTAAACCAGGATTGATTTAAAATTCTGTTTATCAGTCTACATTTCTTCTAAATTCTGCTCAATGGATTGAACATAGAATGACACAAAAGTTTGTATATACTCACAAACTTTTATGGAGGGAGATACAAGAAATTTAACAGTAGTTATCTTTGGGAAGCAAAGCTGGAAGGCAGTTATTTTTTATTTCACTCCCTCCCTTGGGTACTGTTTGAAACTTTTATATGCTGGGTGAGTGAGGAGCAAGAGAGATGACTCTGACTTCGAGGATTTTATGGCCTATTAGTGCAGATAGGACAGTCATCCATGCGTGATATAAGGAGATAATAATTTTATTACGAAGTAGCCTCAACACAGATCTCAAAAAGATCGAATATAAAAGAGTAATCAAAACTGAGTGTGGAGGATTTGAGAGGACCAATCTGCATTTCATCTCCCTGGGAGGAAGGAGGCCTTGCTCTCCTGCAGGTTGTTCTTGCATTGTCACATAAACCTGGGTGCCTGAGAGCCTGGCCTGCTATTGGTGGCATTTGTGTGCTCTCAGAGGAGTGCTTCACGCCATCTGGCTATTAATGACTGTATGTCCCTCTCTATTGCTGGTTGTACTTCATCCGGTGTCAGTCCATTTGCTGAATATTATTGTCAGGAGCACGTACACTCTCCAGATTTCACAGGTCTAAAGAAACGTGGCAGAATGTTAGGAACACTGCCTGCCAAAGTTTTCTCACTGCTCTTACACTTGGAAAGGTGACTTTTTATCAGGAACATCCCAGACATCGGCTTCTCTAGGCAGGCCTTCGCCCCAAGGATACGGGGCTGATGAAAACACTGATTGTGTCTGCCAGGATTAGAAAGCGCTGCTTGGCATTTTTGCCTTTGTAACGCTACTTAATCACGTAGTACAGTGGAAAGGAAAGGGGTCGCTAATCGGGTGTGTTCAGAATTTATTCTTCTAATTGGAAACTCACTTTTAGATGCATTTTGGAGAGTGGTATTGGCAAGAGCAGTAAAATAATAGAGTGACACTTGATACCATCTTTACATTTCCAATTCTCTTACTTTCCAGGCCAAGTCAGTCACTGTGAGCAATGTTGCTTTTTCTGTAATACTGTTATTTTAGGATTCAAGTGCTACTCCTCCTTGAGCTGCTATCACTGCCAAATCCCGAAGGGAAGGATTTATCTTATTAATTAGAGCCATTAACATATATGAGGCTCTAGCTTCTTAAATTATACTGTAACATTTCTCTCAAGCCAATAGGGATATCTTTTGGTGGTAGTGTTGTAATTTTAGCTTCCACTGTTACAGTACCTTATTATCCCTGATGTGATTATCAGCAAACAGGATGTAGGATTTGGTTGAGAATTGCGGACATAGCGCTAAGCATATATATGCTGTAGTTGTTGGGGTGGATTTATCATTTATTACCACTCCATGCTTAAAATTTTTGCTTGGAATCCCAACTCCTTATCCTGGCCTATTCAGCTGTGGTATCATCTGGCCCTGCATCCCTTTCTGACCTCATCTCCTCCCTTTTACTCACTCTGCTGCAGATCCACTGGTTCTGTTTTCCCCTCCTGAACAACAGCTGGTTCTGGCCATAGTGTCTGTGCACTGGCTGCTGTTCTCTCTACCACTGGGACAGTAGTCTGCACCAGGTCTCTGCACAGCTGGCTCTTTCTAGTCTTTTAGGTCTCATCTCAGTTGTCCTCTCCCCTGAGAGGCCTAACATGAGCCTTCCACCAAGTCCCTTTCTGCCCATCATCATTACACTGTAACCTCACCTCATTTTGTTTTCCTCATAGCACTTTCCACTCTTTAAAATGATCTTGTCTTTATCATCTACTGCAGTGTTTGTTGAGTGAGATCAGGGTGAATGTCTGTTTTTGTTCAACGTTGCATCAGTGGCGTTTGGACAGGGCCTGGTTATAAGAAGTAGGTAATAAATATCGGCCAAGTGAGTGAGTGGATACATAAGTAGAATGAAGAGTGGAAGGGCCATTTGACAATATGGGGATCTGAAAGACTGTGCGAAGGGAAGCATAGCAGAAGCTTGTGCTCAGGAACAGAAGCAGTGGCCCTCCTTCAGCTGGGACAGTGCTGCACTCAACATACAGAGTTTGCCAAGAAGATTGAGCACAGATCCATATCTACATTTGAGTTTTAACCTGAAGCCTCATACAAAGACGTAAAAAGAAGTCAGCCCACAGAGCAAGCTAGTAATAATCAGACCTGTAGAGTAACCAGCATACTAGACTGGGCTCCCAGTGGGCACTGAAAACCACAGTAGGGGAAATAAGAACAATGGCCCAGCTTTGGCAGATGGTAAGGAGGTGCACAGAGGGGGTCCTGTGGAACAGGCAGATTGTAGCTTGCTGCTGCCATTACTACTCCTCATTTATTCTACTCTGCCTGCTTAGGGCTGTGGGATGAGGTGGCACAGGAACATTTCCATATCCATCTTGCTGGGCAGCAGCCAGCAAGCTGCTAACATGAAGCCCTGCCATGATTAGGTATCTGCGAGGTGGCACCACAAGAGCAGTCAGTCAGTTGGAGCCAGGACTGGGCAAGAGCTGCTGGTTTTAATGGAACTGTGCCTTTTTGCTAGAATCTTAGCCTGTCATAGCTAGAGGGACTAACTAGTCTAATGATCTTATTTTTGTAGAGAAGGAAACACACCTGGGAAGAATAAGTTGCTACTGGGGATTGAAACTGATTTCTTGCTGTGTTCTTTTTGTGCTATAGAAGAGACAGATTTCTCTTCAAGTAGAGAGAGGATTTTTCTATACTAGCATTTCTCTATTCCATGGGACACAGGTTCTTTAGAATGTGAATAGGTGTTATAAAATGTTTACTAATCATCAGATATAAATCATAGTAGCTAGTATTTATTAGAGGCTGTCTGTATTCCAGGTATTCTTCATTTCATTTTCAGGACAGCTATTCCCATTTCAGATAAAGAAACTGAGCCAGAGAGAAGAACTTTCCCAAGCTCACTCAACTAGCAAGGGAAGGAATGTGAGATACAAAGCATGGCTCTAGAATCCCCCATTCATAGCCAGTAAACCATATTGCCTCTTAATAAGTTTGATTAAATGAAGTTATATGTTTTAAACGATTACTTTTTATTTTTTTAATTTCTAAAACAAGTATTTATTTTTTTGAAAATCAGAGTTACAGAGAAAGAGAGATAGCGAGAAAGGGAGAGACAGAGAGAGACATCTTCCATCCATTGGTTCAGTCCCAGAAAGCCTCAATGGCTGGGGCTAGGCTAGGCCGAAGCCAGGAGCCAGGAGCTTCTTTCAGGTCTCCCATGTGGGTGGCAGGGGCCTAAACACTTGGGCATCTTCTGCGCCTTTCCCAGGCCATTAGCAGCAAGCCAGATCAGAAGCAGAGCAGCGAGGACACAAACTCACAAGCATATGGGATGCCAGCACTGCAGGTGGTGGCTTTACCTGCTGCACTGCATGCCTTTTTCGAGCTTTTTCATGTACTTAAAGGGCAATGTGACCTTCTTAGTTGAAAAATATAGTAAATATTATTTCCCAAATGCACATGATATCAGGTAGACTTTTTCTTGGCGCATTCTATGGGATTAGTGTTTTGTAGAATACAAGTGGGGATAGACTGTTTTGTGTTATATCTTCAGATTTGGATGACCAAGGCAGAGTGTGCTAGTGTGTGTTCTTAGTGGCAGTTTTTTTTTTTTTTAATT